TCATATTTAGGTGATTGTCCACTAGGACTCCGAGGTCCCTCTCACAGTTACTACTATTGAGCAAGGTGCCACCTATGCTGTACTTGTGCAATTGGTTTTTCTTGCCTAAATGTAGAACCTTGCTTTTTTCACCATTGAATTTCATTTTGTTAGATAGTGCCCAGTGTTCAAGTCTGTCCAGATCCTCCTGTATCTTAAGATTCATAGAAATGAATCTATGTGGTACAGTAGCACTAGAAAATAAAATTTTGACGCTTTTTGTCAATAAACTTCTGAGGGAGAAAGAGAGTTCTACCCAAGGCAAAGATATTTTGTCCCTGAACTTTGAAAAACATTGATTAAACTTGCTGTGGGGGAGGGGGGAGCATATTCTTCCAAAAATTCTCCGTCCTCCATCTCCCCAAACATACAGTAGCATGAAAACCCCCCAAATCAAATGTCTTTATTACAGTCTTTGATCAGCCTTTACAATAAAAGGGTACAGTGAAAAGGGAAGTAGTTTAATGTGGCAATTTATTATTGGGAAAAAATAATCGGACAATAAAACAACATATGTAATTAAACATTTTGCACAGTTGAATAATTTGATGAAGATAGTTGGCCTCCTGATATGTGAATCTGAGATTATTAGCATCCCTTAAAAATAATAAACATAAAATGTATCTCTCTGGCCCTCATGTTTGGAAATGATTTGGCCATTAGAGTATATCTTAGGGCAGGGGTAGGCAACCTCGGCTCTTTTATGAGTCATGGACTTCAACTCCCAGAATTCCTGAGTCAGCAGAGCTGACTCAGGAATTCTGGGAGTTGAAGTCCATGACTCATAAAAGAGCCGAGGTTGCCTACCCCTGTCTTAGGGCATCATAGAAAGGCACCATATGAGAACATGGCTGAGCATTTCTACCTCCCTGGATCCACGCCAGCAAAGTCTCTGGAAAAAAAAAAAAGGAGTCCCATGAAATCTTCCTCCCAATAGATCTGATAGGAGGGTTATCAAAGGGAGGCTCTGGAGAAAGCCCTCTATACTTTGAAACTGAAAGTCTGAAACTCTGTGGTCCGTTTTGAAAGCCACTTATTACCAACTGTGAAAAGATCAAGGGTGAACTGCCCGGTGGTGAATCCAGTGTCTGGTTTAAATGGTGTTTGGGCTGATAAGCCAAGGTCAGCTCACATCCTGACTGACCTTCCCCCCCCCTTTCCAGAGCAAACCTGCATTTCTTAACTCAAGACAGAGCGTCCTGTATAAAGCTATCAACACTATTAAGCTCTAATAAAGATAAAGGTATTTGATTTCAGGGAAAGGAAGAGAGTACGTATGCCTGCTTCGGCGTCCTTAATCTCGACAGATTGTATTTCCAGCACCTTACATGGAGATGGTTCATCCGATAAGACGCTCGCTAATTGGGGTCTTTTCTTCCCCTCTTGCCTCTCTTTCTCTCCCCCCCCCTTCCCCCTTGCCTACCCTCCCTCCCTCCTCCCCTGGCTGCTGCTTATCTGGCTTGCTGGGTGTTTGGCAACTGCAGGACTCTGTTTGGAAACAAGATCAAGTCTGTGGCCAAGGAGGCGTTCTCCGGCTTGGAGGCCCTGGAACACCTGTGAGTAACCCACAAGGCTTTGCAGGTTGGGAGAGGGGGGGCTGGGTGGGAAAGGGGAGGCTTGCCAGGAATGGCTGCAGCAGCGGCCTGCAAGCAATTTAATAGCATCTTTGTAAGCTGAGAAGCTCTCCGTTCCTGAGAGCCAGCTGCTTCCTTCTCATTATAAGTCAGCTCCAACTTTGGCTCTGCTTCCCCCCCCCCTTCTCCCCCCGGCTAGGAAGAAAGTTGTAGAACACATGACCAGTTATATGGTGTTTTCTTTTTTTAAACCTATATTGGAATGCCTTTTTTTAATTCACAAAAATTCAAACCTTCCCTGAGAAATTGTTCTCCTTTCCCAAAAGTCTGAAGTTGCATCTATTTTGCTCTGTTCTTCCTTGCCACTGAGCGTATCTGCAAAAAAGGCTGGGGTCAAAATATCTCACCACAATCTTTGCTAAGCAGGGTGGGAAAAGCAACCTGTTATTTAATTTGATTTTAGAACAGAAATTTGTGTATATTTATCATGGTTTTTATTATCGCCTGTTCACCGCCCTGAGTCCCGTAAGGGAGATAGGGCGGTATATAAATTCAGTAAATATATAAATTCAATAAATAAATAAATAAACCCTTGCAGTTTGAATTGCTCTTTTATGCCATTGCTTGAACATAGTTACAACAAATTAGGCCAGAGTGGCAGGAAAGCTAGTTGAATATCAGAGGATCTACCTCTCTTGTCTCCTTGAATATTGCCACTCTTATAGAGGGCAACTTTGATCAAGATCTGCTTTAGTCCCATCGTCTTCACTTTGACTCCCTCTGCTGGCATTAAGAACAGCATTTGGTAGAAAGTAAGTCTATAATATTAAAGAGCCCTAAAGACCCCTGGGGTTATTCTGCTTGAGGGTTGTTTGTTTTGCCTTTTTCTTTTTTTTTGTACTTGCTAATTTTTTAAACACGTACTTGCAGAATCCAAAGAGGAAGAACACCATTTTAGAAGAGGCATTTCTACTACTTTTTTACCTAACATTTTTTGAATAGCGAGGGCAGGCTGGAGAGTGAATTAGAGGGCTGGCATTGAACCCCCTCCCCCCCGTCCTGCCGCTCTCTTCACTTTGTCTGTGCAAATAAAGCTCCCCTGGGCCTGGATCCTTCCTCTGCAGGGATTGGAGCCTGTTTTAAAATGTCTGCTCATTTTATACATCCTTGCTGTTTTTACTCATGTGCAAATGACTACAAATTACAACTAAGACATCTTTACTTGGGGACCAGCCAAGTAATGTGTTTCAATTGTAATGTGTGTTTCTATGAAGTAGATTCTGGAATTGGTTCTTTGGCTGTTTTCCCCCCCAGCGTAGTTGGCTGAAGTTCTGAAATTCTCTTCTCTCTGTTCTTTCTATCTTGCCCAAATCTTACTGCAAAGGAGGAGTGGGATTCCTTTGGAAAGGGGGTGGGTGGGTGGGTGAAGGGGGTTAAAGTTTAAAATACTACACGTTCTTTGCTTCAAGTACAGTTTTTCAGCAGTTGGCCAGATGAAATGCTAAAAACCTTGATATTTAAAATGCTGGCAGATTTACTAAGCAATTGGAATGGAGTTATGTGTGCAGATGTACTATTTAAAAAAATCCACCTTACGCTATTAAAATAATAATGGGTTGAGAATAATACTACTCATGAGCCAGTTCATATGTAATATTAAATCACAAGAATAAGCTGCAGCCCATTCCATTTCAGTTTTGCCCTGAAAAACCTACCTCCAAAGTGTAATATGCAGTTAACCTGTATCTTGACTGGCTAACAAAAAAAATATACAGGCAGTCTATGCTTAACAATCACAATTGGGGCCATAATGTGGTTGTTAGTGAGCTATTATATGACATCAATAGAGTTACGACATCACTTCCACTACAGTTCTTAAGCAATCTCTTGTGGTCATTAAACAAGACATAACATGATTGTGACTTGTGATTTTACTGCCAGCTTCTCCATTGACTCTGCTATTCATAAGCTGGCTGTGAAGTGCATAAATGGTGATCATGTGACCACAGGATACTGTAAAGTCATAAAGCCTGCAAAATCCCCAAATCTCAATCGCACAACCATGGAGATGCTGTAAAGGACATAATAGCAACAGCACTTATATACTGCCTCACAGTGCTTTACAGCCTCTCTAAGGGGTTTCCAGAGCCAGCCTATTGCCCCCCCTCCAACGATCTGGGTCTTCATTTTACCCACCTGGGAAGGATGGAAGTCTGAGTCGACCTTGAGCCGCTCAGAATCGAACTCCTGGAGTGAGCAGTGGGATGCCTGCAGTACTGCATTCTAACCACTACGCCACCACGTAATCGCAAGAACCAGTGGTAAAGTTATTTTTTTTCAGCACCTGTATAAGATAAATTGCCTTTTTTCATTCATCACCATTAGGATTCATTAAAACAAAAAATAATAGAAATTGGATGTGAAGCGAAAGTGGACAGATGAGAGATTCACTTTGTGACATGTCCTGGTAAAGTTAGCATGATGTGGAAATGCATCCGGGCCCTAATTCTGTACATCCTCTGTTTACTAGGATCAGAGATATTATGAATAAGTGGAAAATCACAAAGTGCCGTATTAAAAGAAACCACAGTTACACAGAGTTACTTTTGTACCGCCACAGTACATCTATCATATGTCTATAAATTAAAATAAATGCTTACTTTCTGTAGGAACCTTGGGAATAATACCATACGGTCTATTCAAGAGGATGCCTTTGCAAAGCTGAAAAGCCTGAAAGAACTGTAAGGAATGAATCCTAATGTTTGCTGTATATTTTGGTCCACTTTTGTGACATTTCTTCCAGCGACTCCTCCCTCCAATAGTTCCTTTCCCACATTATCAGTAATTCCGTTGTTCCCTGCACTCTTCTTCTTACGAGCTATTTTTGCAAAAAAGCAGATGTCAGATAGTGAAATTCCACAACTAGTGAAATCAGATCTTCCTTGTGGTTGATTTCACTGCCTTTTTCCATTGTGCTCAGGAAGTCCAAACTCCTGTCCTCTAAATCATATAGATCATATAATGGAATATCTGCCCTTCTCATCCCCCCCTCCCCTTTTTATATCTGTATGCTAGAAATTTCAGTAATGAGCTGTCTTTGAATTTGCTCCTTGAACCCAATTAGGATGGGAGAATTACAAATGGGATCAGCAGAAGGGAATATTTGTAACTCAGCATTGAACTTGGTTGCCTGAAATTGGTTGTCTTTTTGGAGACGTTTCATTACTCAGCTGCTAGCACTGATAATGTTACCTAGTTGGATAATGAAACGTCTGCAAGGAAACAGTGAACCTCAACTATGTCAGCAGAACCTTGTTTGTCACATTCTGTTTTGCGATATATGTATTCTGTTCTTTCCCTCTCTCTAAAATAGTGTGTGGCCTATACAGATGTCCAGAAGCCAAATTTACAAATTTATTGTTGAAGAAGGTGGGGGAGGGGAACATCCATATGTGGCTCTGTCCAAAATCAACCACAAATCACTTAAACTTTATTTTATTTAAACATAGCAGAATGGGGCTGTTTATTCATGTGGTAAACCCATGGTTATCAAATTGGTATTTGTGGATTTAAAGAGCTTATTCATTTCCACTTCAAGTATTGGCATTTAGAAATATGCAAAGTAATTTGGAAGATCTACCTCAAAAGAAACTGCTGGCCACTAAGCTAGGTTTAACTGTAAATCAAAAGCTTAATGAAGAATAGGTTTATGAATGGCTATGAATCAGGGAATTTCTCAGAAGCGAATTGTTACACTAATACGTATCAGCTGCTATGCAGCAAATGTCAAAATTAATTGTCACAATACTGTCTTTATGCTGTGCTTGAGAGCTTCTCAAAGAATTCCGATAGCTGTTGTGGAAAGGAAAAGGCTGGATTAAGTCTATAATTGATTACTACCAAATTACTTTTCTTATATTCTGATTTTCAGCCACGTTTTTGGTAGTCTTTCCATCTTTAAATCTTAAAGTGTTAATACTTGCCTATTAGATTGGGGTTATCTAGATGCTATCTACTGCAGAATATACATTTAAACACTGTATTAAAGAATGAAATAAGCACCTGCAAAATGTGACCATGGTCTGCTTAAAGTGGGGCCTATATCTTCATATGATACTTCTCCAAGTAAAATGAAAAATCCTTCCCTCCGTACAAGGCAATAGCATCGTATGAATCTGGTTGGATTCAGATTGTTACATGAAACAGTTTGGAAAGCCAATTGAATTTGGAGCAGAGTCAGGCCTGCCATCATAAAGTTGAGGGTTTTTCTTTCCTAAATGCCCAAGCTGGGACAAGCCTGACTCAAAGCCTTTTCTGTACAAGTACAAAATGGTGTGTTGGACTGACTTGGAGGCAGCAAACTGAGTAATTTAATCCAAGGCTGATATTAATATAACAACTAATAAGGGTCATCTTTACACACCTGTCTTATGACCATTTGTAACACTTCTTTTGCCAGTTTTATAAGAATTCACATTTTATTCTTTTCGTCGCTTCCTTTGCTTTCTTCCAGACGCATCAACAGCGAGAGCTTCCTCTGTGATTGTCAGCTCAAGTGGTTGCCACTCTGGTTAACCAAGAAAAAACAACAGCTGTTTGTGGAAGCCACCTGTGCCCACCCAGAATCATTAAAGGGCAAAAATATTCTTGAAGTGGTCCCAGAAAGTTTTGTATGTGGTGAGTCTTAGCTGCCGCATGGTAATTTTGAGGTTGCTTTGGAGGGTAGCCCTGACACAGGAATGACTATGTATTTTGTGGTCAGCTTATTATTTCATAGGCAGTGGAGTGTAGCATCTCCTTTTCGTGGTCTGCCTTCACCATTGAGAAGAACTGTAAATCATATTCACTGCATCTATCGGGAGCAATGATCCCAAATGAGCTTGGGGAATCATTTGGTGGTCATGGAAATTTGATGATAGAAGGGGTTAGAGCTTGGATGAGAAAGCGGCAACAGTCTTTCTAAATAGCATATCCTGCTTTGATTCATTTCAGTTTGGGTTCCAGCTTGGCTGAGATTGCCTTGACTGCTCCAGCCGCTGATTTTTCTTGATTTATTTGACTTGACTTTTGTTCTGGCAGAAAACAAAAATGATTCTATTTGCTCTTATTAAAGGAAGGCTCTTCCCAGCTTTTTTGTTGTCCTTATATTAGTTGAATCTTACTTTGCGGGCAGCTCAGAGCTAGCCTTGAGACAGACTCATCTGATACCCATTCAATGGCCTATTTTGGATTTTGAGGGTGAAGTTTCTTCCATCAACTCTAAATTATACATCACAATTAATGCAGGTGCTCTTGGGATGATGGAGTTTCATCTTGTCAAAATGTAGGGGACTGGTTTCAATTAGTGTGACGGACAAAGTGAGTAGAATCTGTAGAGCAGTGTTTCTCAACCTTGACAATTTTAAGGCATGTGGACTTCAACTCCCAGAATTCCACAGCCAGCAATGCTGGCTGTGGAATTCTGGGAGTTGAAGTCCACATGCCTTAAAATTGTCAAGGTTGAGAAACACTGCTGTAGAGTTTGGATTGTTAAGATTTTTAAGAACCAGCAATGAAGGTCTTATGTGGGTAGACCTAGGGATCTCCTGGTGCAAAAATAAGATTGTAAAGATTTCTTAGTTTAACAGAATAACCACATCACAGAGCTTTTTTTCTTTTTTGTGGAGTACTGTATATAGACTTTTAACTTCCCGAAAGCAGAATCCATAAGGTAAGCCTAGGCAAGAAATTAGATCGAATATTAAAGCATTAGAAATTAGTCACCATATAATCCCAATTAAAGCATGCCAACTGAATAGAAAATCATCGATTTGCAAGGATTCAATGTTGTTCTGTCATCTACCTTTTTTGGGGGGGAGGAGGGATATATCTTATTTTTATTTTTTAAAAAACAAGTAATAATAAATAATAAATCTACCGTCTTTGACAGTGGTTGTAGCCACCCCTTGTGTACTGCATGAGGTTAGAGCAGTGTTTCTCAACCTCAGCAACATGAGGATCCATGGACTTCAATTCCCAGAATTCCCTAGCCAGCAAGCTGAAATAGCAGCATTTATTTAACACATGCCACCTTCTTAATCTGTTAAAAATAGCAATTTGAGCCGCAGGTAGAGAAGGCCGTGGAAAATCTCTTGGTCTAGCAACAACTGCCAGTTGTGGAGTTGTCACATCCCCCAACAATGTACTGCCTCTCTTGGACGGGGGGGGGGGCAGGGGCACACTGCTGTTCCTGTCGCTCAAGGCAGAAGCCACTGGTTGGGGCAGAGCAGCTGAGTCATGCGGTCTTTTCTCTCATGCCTGGAATGTACTAGAAGATAGTATAGTATTGCTTGTCTGTCTGCCTGCCCTCTTCAGAGTCACAGATGTTTTGGCTTTGGGAAACTATAAATTTGCCACCCCTTCTCTGGCTGTGCCCAGCATATCCACTGTATCCATCTGATACCAACCTTTTTTTTCCCCCATGTTACAGCCTGCTGCAGTCTCTTCTCTCAGACATTAGAACAGGGGTGGGCAACTATGGCCCCTTTATGACTTGTGGACTTCAACTCCCAGAATTCTTGAGGCAGCCATGTTAGATAGAACTGGAAGCCGGAATGTCTAAATGCACCAGGAGTGATTGTCGTCACTTCTTGGGCCAATGCAAAGGCACATAATTAAACATTAATGCCTGTCTTCTGTAGACAGTCGTTCGAGGCTGCCCATGGCATGTTTGAAAACTCCTGCTTTGTAGCTTAGACTAAAGCCTTCATTTTGACATGTGGACTTCCCAAGTGTAGGATCCCTTCCCCTGCATGGAGCCTCCTGTAGTCTGAAAGCCTGTAGTTAAGGAAGGGAAATGCTATACTTTTTCCTTTGGCTACTTAACTGAATTGATGTTTGGTACAGCTTTCAGACATCGGTATTCCAAGCTCGGTTCTTAAAACACGAATGTTCTGCAGTGGCAAGCAATCTCACCATTTGACAATCTCTTGTCATTGGTACTTCTGCCACTGGCCTTTTTTCAGAGGAAGGGAAGGAGGTAATGGTGAATAATGAAATGAGAGATTTTTTTGGGGGGGGGAGTAGGACTGATAAATGAAACTGCTTGGAACTCAACTATACTAAAGACTTACAACAGTTCATTTAGTGACCTTTAAAATTACAATGGCACTGAAAAAAGTGACTTAGGACCGTTTTTCACACTTACGACCATTGCAGCATCCCTATGGTCACATGATCAAAATTCTAAAGCTTGGCAACTGGCATGTATTTATGACAGTTGCAGTGTCCTGGAGTTGTGTGACCCCCCCCCCTTTCTCAACAAGCAAAATCAGTGGGGAAGCCAGATTCACTTAACAGCTGTGTTACTAACTTAACATCTGCTGTGACTCATTTAACTGTGGCAAGAAAGGTTGCAAAATAAGGCAAAACTCACTTAACAACTGTCTTGCTTAGCAACAGAAATTCTGGGCTCAGTCATGATCGTAAGTTGAGGACTACCTGTAGAGTTCATTTGCTGGGCCCAAGCTTTGCTTTGGATGGCGGACAGACAGCTCTATATGCCATATCTTCAAGGACCAGGATGCTTTCCCACTGTCAGCAATTCTTACTAATGATGTCAGTTGCAATAGTTGTAACTCTTAACTAATTAACATCTTGCCCCCCCTTCTCCCACTGGGTGAGATTCTCTCCCGCCCTTCTATTCTTCTGTAAGGGCCTGAAGACCTGGCCCTGCCAATTGGCCTGGGGCTCCAATGGGGAAGTACCATGCTGCAGGCGGTTAATGAACCCAATAGAAGATCCCACCTCCTCCCCTGCAATCTGCCCTGTCCCTCTCCACCTTTTAATTATATTTTTTTTTATTATTATTGTTAGAAATATTTACTTTTGTGGTTTTATTGTTTTTGTATGTCATATGTCCCCCAGAGTCACCTTGTGGGTGGGTAAACAAACTTAATAAATGAATAAAATTTGCTGCATAAAATTGGAAATTGGATAGGATGCATGTGTGTATTTCTTACATACATACTCTATTTTATATACAGTACATATATATATATACATACACACACACACATACTTTTTTCTGCATGCCTTAGAATTAATGGTAAATCATTGGAAAATAATTTTGTCCCCTTAGATCCTAAAAATAATATTTTTTGTAATATATTTTTTGTTAGGATAGCGGCTATCTTATTGTAGGTCATCCTCTAGATATTTCTTAGGGCTTGTATCCCTAATTCAGTTTATTTCTGGTGCTTTTCATAAAGTCTATTACCATTCAATTTAATTTCATGCAAAGGGAAACAGGCAGTGGTAGCCACATAAATGCAAATATTGTCAACTATAGTAAATGCAAGTAGTCTTCACTTAACAACCACAATTGTGCCTGGAATTTTAATCATAAGTCATTGTGGTTAAATGTGATTTGATTTTATGACCATTTTTACTTAGTGCTTAGTGAACAATGTGTTGCCTGGGTTCAATAATAATTAATTTCTGTAATTGAGCAATATGTTAGTTGATAATATATTTCCTTGAGCCTCTCTTCTTCCAGTAATATTCTCCTTTTGTCTACATTAAACAAATATAATTCTTAATACTTTCAATACATACAGAGTTGGGTATAAACATTTTTCTAGTATTGGTACATATAACAATGACATCAACATATAACATCTTTTCTAATCAGTTTATGTTTCAATTGTATTTATAGAAGTCTTCGTATTAAGTCATTAAATGTCCTGTTTTCAAGATTCTTATTTAAGCTTAATTTCCCTCAGTATTGAAACCACTCTTTATCAGTCTTAATTTTCTCAAAATTCATTACCTTTGAATATCCAAACTTTTCATTCAAATACACTGTCTCAATATTTTTACATTTCATATATTATAAAAAGATTATATTACTTATATATCTTATCCCTCTTACTATAGGGCCTTTTTATGTCCAAGCTTTGTCTGTTCTTTTAACCATCTAGCAATCTTACTATAAGGCCTCTTTATATCCAAACTTTATATTTTTTTAACCGTATTCAAACAGGTGTTTAGTCATATAGTATTTCATCTGGTAAGCTGAATCATATCTCTTAAATCTAATTCTAATCTTCTTTTGCCAGGTCGCTTTCCAAATCAGTAGGTTTAGCTTGCCAGGTTGTATTTTTGTAGATATTGTTGGGGATAAAAAAGACAAATTAAGTACAATATTCGTTTTTTGTCTCCCACACTTTAATGATTCTCCTGACAGCTCTTTAATCCATTTTATTAAATCTTCTTTTTTGTCCTCAAGTTTGTTTTTAAATCCTGGAAAATAAAGCATCTTTTTTATTTTCTTTGTTGTAGCAAAATTTTGCGGATTTTCTTTTGTTTGTATTAAGTTGTAGTTCTCTTCATTTGTAGCTTCCATATTTAAGTCATTTTCCTCTGATCTGTATTCTATTGTCTGATTTATTTGTTCATTCTTTATCGTCATTTTTTGAACATTGTTTAATTGTGAGTTTAGGTTAGAGATATGTTCATTTATGTTATGAAAGTTATTTTTAATCTCATAATGATTTAAGATAATTGTCATTTGAATCTGTCGCAGCATTGCATATATTTTCTACTGGAATGTATTTGCTTTGTCCTGAGCCATTGTTCCTGCAGATGTCTGATGTTCCATGCTGGGGTCTTCAGCAGGAGGCGTTAGGTGTGGTTTTCTGTCACTTTTAGATAAATATACACCATCCATTTTGTCTCCCTTCTCTAAGTAGTTTTTCACCGATACCATAGTCTCTTTAATTAGCTTTATCAAACCAGCCCATCTTAAAATCCAAACAACCAAAACTTGTGTAGTTCTTATCTTTATATATGGTTTTTGAAATCCAATATGTTTCCAATTATCAAAATACTGAAAGCGGTATTTTGTAACAGTTCTTTCTTTTCTTCTTTTATGATTATCAGCCAGCCAAGATTTCAGTCCAAAGTATTTAACCACCTGAAAGCTTTCCAGTAACTTCCCCTTTAGGAGATTAACCAAAGGCCGAGGTTTTTCTTTCTCTGCAAACAGTTCTTAAACTTAAAAATGCAGCTCAGTGTGTTTATAATCCCAGAAGGTCAGCAGTTTCTAAACATATATAATTTTACTCTGTAGTAGATAGTCCAATGCTTTGTTCCCAGCTGTTTTTTGCTATTTCTGGGCATCTTGCCAAATTCTGAGTCAATGCAGCTATAGTTTTCGCTAATCATCCACTAGATGTCAGTAGCTGTTCATTTTCCAGCTTTTAAAGCAAAGTGTTATTATTTTTTTTATAATTTCATCAATACTTTTTCATGTATGGAATTTTAACAGTTATCTTAGTTTTCAAATTTATCCAGACTGTAGTATTTTTAACCTCATTTCAATATATTTTTGTTCCCCATAAGAGTTTAATTTGCCGCTTCCGTCTATGGGAGGATGGAGGTGTAGTCCTCTCCCTTCTCACTTTGGGAGGATTTTTGCTTCTTGGGAATCTTTTCCAGGAAATCAGATACAAAATAGGAGAGAGAAAGTCGAATTCCTCACCCAGTTTCAAGCATGCTGTTCACCATTGTTTTGGTTAGTGCCTTTGAACTTCGGCTGCAAGTAGCTTGGGCTGGTCACCGAGGTGTGGCCAGCCTTTCTTCTCTTGGGTTAGAGAGCTTTCCCCGGATTGAGCAGGATGGCCGCCGTAGTTCTGTGATCATCGAGGCGCCCCTCTTTCTTTGGGGTGACTTTAGACCCATTTAGGGTACCCTGGCAGGGCGAAAGTAACCGTGGGGTGCGGAGCTCCTCAATCCCTCAGCCATGCACTACGGCGCAGAACCAGGAGTCCAACATGTAGTCATTTAGTGAACCATGTGGTTGTTAAGCAAATCCATTCTCCCAAATGGGCAGTTTTTGCCAAAAACTGTCAAAAAACATTGGAAAGTCATGTGACATAAATGTGAGCCAGTTGTCAAATGCCTAAAACACAATCATATGTACAGCAGTTATAACTTCAAGGATGAGGCAAAAATTCAGAGAACAGCAATTAAGTTGATCAGAGGCCTGGAGACTAAAACATACGAAGAACGGCTGCAGGACTTGGGTTTGGCTAGTCTAAAGAAAAGAAAAAATAGGGGAGACATGATAGCAGTATTCCAGTATTTGAGGCGCTGCCACAAAGAAGAGAGGGTCACATTATTCACCAAAGCACCAGAGGGAAGGACAAGAAACAATGGTTGGAAACCAATCAGAGAGAGAAGCAACCTGGAATTAAGGAGAAACTTCCTGACAGTGAGGACAATTAACCAATGGGACAGCTTGCCTCCAGAAATTGTGGGTGCTCCATCACTGGAGATTTTTAAGAAGAGTCTAGACAGTCACTTGTCTGAAATGGTATAGGTTCTCCTGCTTGAACAGGGGACTGAACTAGAAGACCTCCAAGGTCCCTTCCAGCTCTATTCTATTCTATTCTATTCTATTCTATTCTATTCTATTCTATTCTATTCTATTCTATTCTATTCATATCTTTGATTAGTCATTAAGCAAGGACCAGCTGTAGGTGGGAGGGCCAGGAATGGTTAGTGCTTGGATGGGGAGCTATGGGGAATGTTTCAGAACCAAACCATGTTTCTGAGGGAAGTAAACAAACAAACAGCATCCTGAAAGAAGGCAGTGACAATCTCCTTTGTTGTTGTTTCCTAAAAACACTGAGTGGATGTTTCTGTGGCATTGTACCTTTTCAGTGAAATTCTATAAGAAATGCAAGGGAAACGGGGAGCAGGGATTGAGACTCCCAGTGGGATAAAGTGTACAGTTGTACTATATTTGAATTTCATTGTCGGAGATTAGCTGAAACAGACTGCTTTTCTTAATGACAGTCCACTAAAGCTTTCTGGCATGATTTGGATACCCGGTGCATCCTTTTAAAGAGGGAATGATTCATTTCTTTTCCAGACGATTTTCCCAAACCCAAAATTATCGTTGAACCAGAAACTACTATCGCTGTTCTTGGCAAAGACATTCGTCTCACCTGCTCCGCAGCCAGTAGCAGCAGCTCTCCGATGACCTTTGCTTGGAAGAAAGACAACGAGATTCTTCACCATGCCGAGATGGAGAACTTTGCACACGTCCGAGCCAGGGATGGCGTGGTGATAGAGTACACAACCATTCTGCACTTGCGCCGTGTCACTTTTTCTCACGAGGGACGCTATCAGTGCATCATTACCAATCATTTTGGCTCTACCTATTCTCAGAAATCTCAGCTTACCGTTAATGGTGAGTGAGGGGAAATGTGGCTTGAACATTGTTTGCATTCTAGAAATTAGCTTTTCCTATGTTTATTATAATGTTGTTAAACGGCTTCCTTTATCCTGAAAACGTTCCAGATATGTACACTTCAACTTCCAGAATTTTCCAGCTAGGATTTGCTGAGTTTCTGAGACCTAAAGCCTGGAGGCACCCAACTTGGAGAAAGTGACCCAAGCCTCTCTCTTTCTAGATGCAAGTATTAGAACAGTGTTTCTCAACCTTGGTAACTTGAAGATATGTATAGACTTCAACTCCAAGAATTCCCCAGCCAGAAAGCTAACTGGAGAATTCTGGGAATTGAAGTCCACACATCTTAAACTGTGAAGGTTGAGAAACAATGTGTTAAAGCAGGGGTATCAAACTAGCGGCCCGCGGGCTGGATGCATCACACGCAGGCTCCGCAAAGGCAAAAAACGTCACGATATATCAAGATACATCATGTGATGCAATCAAGTTTGAAACCCGTGTGTTAAAGCATAGCAACGAAAAGGGAAATGACTCCAAAGTGTTGTGAACACCAGTAATATTTCCCTTCGAGTTTATCGCACAAAGGACTGGTTTGCCATTGTGTAAAAATTATTCCCCTGGACAAGTGGTGGGAGTTAAGATGCATCAAATCTTAATAAACATTGGCTTGGCTCATTGGGATTTTTCTCATTGCCTTTATTTAAGTGTTAGTCTCTGGAACTTCTTAAATGAACTTAAAACACTCCTTTGGAATGCCGTGTTTTAATTTTAACTCGTAATGTCTGAACGCTGGTGTGTAAGCTCCATTGAACGAAGGAGTTGAGCTGTGTGGTCAAATTGCATCCCTATAAATGTCTGTCTTTTTTTTTCCAAAAAAGCCTGTTCCACATTTTTGTAGCAAGTTAGAGGACGTTAACATGCTATAGTAAAAAAAAAAAAAAAAAGAGTTTGAGTCCTATTTGCATTTGAGCTGCCCAGCCAATATTCTTTACTAGCTTGGGGTACACTCACTCTCTTTTATCTTCCACAGTGTTGCCATCTTTCCTCAAAACCCCCTATGACATTGCAGCCCGTACTGGAACAACTGCTCGGTTGGAATGTGCTGCTCGTGGGCATCCCCTTCCGCAGATTGCTTGGCAGAAGGACGGAGGGACAGACTTCCCCGCAGCTCGGGAACGCCGCATGCACGTCATGCCCGACGACGATGTCTTTTTCATTACTGACGTGAAGATAGACGACATGGGTGTTTACAGCTGCACCGCTCAGAACTCTGCAGGTTCCGTGTCAGCCAATGCCACCCTGACCGTGCTGGGTAAGAAACGCTTATACATCAAAGAAAAGTTTGTTAGATCATCTTTACTGCACAAATGAACAGTAAATCCAAAAGGATCCCCTAAGGAAATGCACAGAAAGTTAAGAAAGTAAAATTTAAGGATGCAAAATTTGAAACTCTTTCACTCGGGAGCAATAAATCAAGTGGGTAAGTATAGGATATGGGACAGATGCCTGGATTGGTCATAGAATGGGAGCTGGTTGCCAAACAACCAAAATGTGATTTTGTGATTGGGAGAGGAGAATTAGCCATCAGAACTCTGGAACTAGGTTGTAAGTCTGCTAAGTGACGCGTCATTAAGTGGAGTTCAGAATGGAAGAGTATGCATCTTGTAACAGAACTCTGAATGTCAGAATGCTCCTTCCTATGTTATCAGAAATAGGATGACATCACTTATGTGGTACCATTTCTTTTTGGAATCTTGTAGAGACTCCAAGTTTGGTTCAACCATTGGAAGACCGTGTTGTGTCTGTTGGTGAAACTGTGGTTCTGCAGTGCAAAGCAACTGGAAGTCCACCTCCACGCATTAACTGGCTGAAGGGTGACCATTCTCTGACTGTTACCGAAAGGCATCACTTTACACCAGGCAATCAGCTGCTTATTGTCCGGAATGTTGTGTTAGAAGATGCTGGAAAGTATACATGTGAAATCTCAAATACAGTCGGAACAGAACGGGCACACAGCCAAGTTAGTGTATTGCCTTCACTTGGCTGCCGGAAAGATGGAACCACTTTTGGAATCATGACCATTGCTGTAGTCTGTAGCATCGTCTTAACATCTCTGGTTTGGGTGTGTATCATCTATCAGACCCGAAAGAAGAGTGAAGAATACAGTGTCACAAACACAGGTTAGTCCATAATAATTGTTTTTGGTGGCCAGAACATTAAATCATAAGAAATAACTTCCTCATCTTCAACGAGTACAACATTCAGAGCTTGAAAAGCAGAATGGCTTTGTTCTTCTGCATATATATACAGTATATAGTGGGCAGTTCCAAGTGGAATTGCTAAGTATTTGCCTAATTTGTAGATTTGTCTTCATGCATTCCAACCCATCCTTCCAAGAGATTGCACATTCCCTAAGCGTACCTTTATGTATCAGCAGTTTTGACTATTATCCTAAATATGCATTGAAGCATACCTTGGTACAAAGCCATCCTTGCTCAAAAATTTGAATGCTGTTAAAGTCAAATGCTATGATGCTCTTTTTCCATAAATTGGTAAACTCAAAAATAAGATTCAAAAAGCATTGCAGTAATTTGAATACAAGCCTTATCATTATCTGCTGCTTGTTGATCTCTGTGCTCTTACTTTTGTCAAAGGTAATGTACTTGCCAACCAAAAAAGGGGTATTATTACCTAAAAATGAAAACTGCCCCATCTCAGAACTGTAAAACAGAAGGCACGGTTTTGATTAAATTGTTGCTGATGTGATGTATGATAAAGCTGTAGTTGTTTGGTTCAGGTTAGAGTCCTTGCTCTTGAAATGTGACTCCAAAGGGGATGCAGACCTTGCTCCATAATGACCATGATTCACCCGTCAGCTGATTTTTATGGCCCATGATTAGGCCAGCAAGTTAAGAGCAAATCAGTGGCATCCCCTCTTCATTGGGAATGCAACGGGAATATCTCAGTTAATTTTATACTGATGGGGTAAATGTTTAGGGCAGCCCCCAGAATGCTGCTTATTTCTGGAACCTATAAAATCTTTCCTGGTTAATGTAATTTCCAGACATTCCCAGCCATCATTTAATATTTGGGGGGGGGGATATAATGGTGCCTAGAACTGGTCTCTATACCATTCCCAGTTTGTTTAGATCAGGGCTAGGCAATTACAGTCACTTGATGACCTGTGGACTTCAGCTCCCAGAATTCCCGAGCCAGCATGGTTTCTGCTGTTTTCGAATTTCAACATTTTGTGACATTGGCTCTTTACTTTTTCTCTCTTTTTCCTGTTTTTCAAGATGAGACCATTGTACCCCCTGATGTGCCAAGCTATCTTTCCTCCCAGGGGACACTTTCAGATCGACAAGAAATAGTTGGGAGAGTGGAAAATGGCCAACAGCCCAATGGCCAAATCCAGAGCAACGGTACGTTTTGGGAAAAACAGGGCTGTGTCTATTTTTTGGTGGGGTTTTTTTGCAAGAGATAGGGGCCAAAAACTCAGAGGTGCACTGTTATTAAAACTATTACAAATTGCTTTTCTGTTCAGAAAAAGCACAGCAGTTTCTTCTGCTCTTCAAGGGGGCTTACACAACTGACACATAACAAAAGATGAGAAAACAGTTAGGCTATAATAAAGTAAGCAGCAGCCTATATTTGCAGTTTTGACTGAGGAGGAAAAAGCCATAAATCTGTAGAGTTTATCACTGATCACCAGACATTTCTGTATGTACACAGTTAGCCCTTAACATCCAGTTTTGGTCACCACAATGTAAAAAAGATGTTGAGGCTCTAGAAAGAGTACAGAGAAGAGCAACAAAGATGATCAGGGGACTGGAGGCTAAAACATATAAGGAACGGTTGCTGGAATTGGGTATGTCTAGTTTAATGAAGAGAAGGACGAGGGGGGACATGATAGCAGTGTTCCAATATCTCAGGGGCTGCCACAAAGAAGAGGGAGTCAAGCTATTCTCCAAAGCGCCTGAAGGCAGAACAAGAAGCAATGGATGGAAACTAATCAAGGAGAGAAGCAACCTAGAACTAAGGAGAAACTTCCTGACAGTTAGAACAATTAACCAGTGGAACAACCTGCCTCCAGAAGCAGTGAATGCTTCAACACTGGAAGTCTTTAAGAAGAGACTGGACAGCCATCTGTCTGAAATGGTGTAGGGTTTCCTGCCTGAGCAGGGGTTGGACTCGATGACCTCCAAGGTCCCTTCCAACTTTTATTATTATTATTATTATTATTATTATTATTATTATTATTATTATTATTATTATTATTATTATTATTATTATTATTATTATTATTATTATTATTATTATTATTATTATTTAGTGAGACCATTCAAAATTACAATGTCAATAAAAAAAGTGAGCATTTTTTATACTTATGACCATTGCGGCATCCCCATGATCAAAATTTGGATGCTGGGCAACTGGCTCATATTTATGACGGTTGCAGTGTCTCGAGGTCATGTGATCCGCTTTTGCGATCTTCTGACAAGCAAAGTCAATGGAGAATCCAGATCCACTCAACAACCGTGTCACTAACTTAACAACTGCACTGATTCACTTAACAACTGTGGCAAGAAGGCTCATAAAATGGGGCAAAATTCACTTAATAAATGTCTCACTTAACAACAGGAATGTTGGGCTCAATTGTGGTTGTAGGTCGAGGACCACCTGTACTCTACTTCAGTCTGTCTGCTAATTATACAGCACTATACAGGTTGTCCTCAGTTTATGACCATGAAAGATATCAGGGGCACTAAAGCTGATAATCACATTAGTACAGTTAGTCCTTACATAGCAACCATTTGAAATTACGATGGACCTCCCCAGGAGTACTTACGACCTGGTTCCAAAATTCTGACACTCCTCCCCCCCCCCCGCAATCATGTGTTGGGCACTTGGCAACCAGCCCATATTCACGGCCATTTGCATCAGCCCGTGGTCATGTGACCGTGTTGTATGACGGTTTTGCAAAAACGGGCCCATAGCATACCACTGGCTTGCTTAATGACTGCGAGTTCACTTAATGTCCGTGGCATTCACTTAATAACTGCTGCAAAAAGATCCTAAAACTGCATTGGTCACATGGGTGACCTGTTTTACGACAGTCACAACTTACAAGCAGGCTCCACTACAGTTGTAAGTCAAGGGACCGACCGTAATCCATGCAGGCATCAGGCAGATGTAATCTGCTAACTCCCTCAAATGAACTTTGCAGTCTTCTCTACCTGTTCCATATTCTGTAAGATGAGAGTATCGTTATCTGTAAAAGTTGGCCACGCCTGCAATTTGACAACATTTTTATCATTTGGTTACAGGTGTTTGCCAGCTCATTAGAGGAAGGGATGCAGAGGGTGATGCTCACTCTGTCATTTACCGACAGCCAAAGATATGCTTAGGCTATGATAAAGAGTCATGGAGAGGAGAGGACATTCCCGATAGGATGCTTCTTACAGACAATACAGGTATGGGAAGTGCTTCAATTTTCTTTCATAAAGAGACACAAAGCAAACTGGGGCAACAGTTTTTAACTTTGAAAAATGTTCATCTGTAACAAGGGACACTTTTTTTCAGTGATATGGTCTCTCCATCTGTTTTACTAAATAGCAGACTGTCAGTAATGATTATACTGTAAAAAAAACCACCTACAGTTGTATAATTTACATATTCTCTTAAACATTTATTTATAAAAAAAAAAACCTGTGGAGCTACCTGTCTCACATACATAATGATTCTGGTGCAGTTCACAACAACCAGAAAAGCAACAATATAAAAACATACTGTAGCCTTTCCACCAAGGCACCAGAACCACCGATACAGTCTTCACCCCATCCTAACCTAAGGATTATTATTGACAAGTAGAAGTTGCTAAAGAAGAAACGACGAGTAGACAAGGAAGTTTAGTGTGCTTTGAGGTGTGGATCCTGTCATTTCAAAAAGAAGAGTATAAATCTCAGAGTCTTTCAGTGATATTTTGTACTGAGTCAGGTGGGTTTTTTTTATTGATATTCATAGCAACACGTAGTTATTTCAGTTAGATGTATTGGCCCACAGCCCTCCAAGTGTAGATACATTTTACAAATAAGGCAGAAGAAAAATGGGTAGAGAAAGTGGCCCAAGAAGGCCATTATTTAAAGAAGAGGTAAACAAGCTTCTCCTACAGAATTCCAACACATTCATGTACGGGAGCACAAATACACACTCCCATGCATACATACAAGTAGCTTTCTTTTGCAATCACACCTCCAGAATTTTACTAAGGTTTATTCTTCCCTGCCACATTTCTGCTTCAGATTATACTCTCTTTGTCTGATTGTTCAGCTGCACATGTTGCTAAACCTATCTTCCTTAACTCAGTAGCAATTTTCCATTATAGAACATTTTTAATAATGGTTCATTCTTGATGGTGATAATGAGCTAAAGTATACAGATTTCATGACACGCTTTTTAAAAAAAATGCATCTCAAACTTGTTTTGCATAATTTATTATTTGTCATAAAAAGTCCAAGCAATTTTTTTCTTGAATGCTAAGATCACTTGAAAACATACCTCTAAATACCTTTAACGTGCCATGTGCAAGAGTTGCAGAATTGGGAAATAGGAACACGTTTATTTCGAGTAAGACTTGGGTTACTTGGGAAGCTATATCCATATCTTTGGCTTTTTTTGTAAAGGTGGTCCTTGACTTACAACCACCACTGAGCCCAACATTTCCATTGTTAGACAGGTAGTTGTTCAGTGAGCGTTGCCTTTCTTTCTTGCCAGAGGTGTTAAAGTGAATCACTGCAGCAGTTGTTAACTTAATAATGTGGTTGTTAAGTGAATCTGGCCTCTCCATTTATTTTGCTGGTCAGACGGTTACAGAAGGGGATCACATGACCCCGGGACCCTGCAACCGTCATAAAACACGTGCCAGTTGCCACGCATCTAAATTTTGACCATGTGACTCTGGGGATGCTGCAATCGTCATAGGTGTGAAAAATGGTCATAAGTCATTTTTCCCCAATGCTGTTGTTAGCTTTGAACGGTCACTAAACAAAGGGTTGAAAATCGAGGACTACCTACAGTTCAAAAGAATTGTGGCATATGCCTACTCAGCTCTGTGGAACAATGAAGGGGGCTCTCTAGCATGAAACACAAACACAAAACTCCAGAATTCCTAACCAGTCATCCTTGTTAATTGGGAATTTGGGCCACTGACCCAGAATAATATACTTGGCCTACCTATCAGTAACGGGTAGACTCATGAAACCATTGGCATTTCTTCTACCTGAATATAATTCCAGTTTGTTACATTTGTCTTCTTTTCTACCTCAAGCCTATAGCTTGCCTGCCGCTTATACTGACTATGAGGGAAGTGTGGATACCAAGAACATTTATCCCAAGGATCCAGATTACTATTCTCTGGCTGCAGAGGCCAGGACTCCGAATACTTCCAGTAGCAAGGAGCCTGACAAGCATGATGGTGCACTTACTGCTAACTGTCCTAGCCCTCTAAAATGCAGCACGAGTACGGACAATAGAAAACCAGATATCAGTGGCACTATTTACCCTAGCAATCATGACAGGATGTCAGCGGCTTGCCCAAGCAAGTCACCTCTAGAGGACAGCAAAGGTATGTGCCTATTTTTTTTTTAATTTAGTTCTTAAAATACCTCCCACGCTTTCCAGATTACCAGTCACTCATTCTCATCTCTCTCGTAAGGCACCTGACTAGAAAGCGGGAAACTGTTTCTAGTCCCGCTTTAGGCATGAAAGCCCAATGGGCTGACCTTGAGCCAGTCACTCACTCTCAGCCCAACTCGCCAGAGTTGTTTTTGTGGCGACAATAGAGGGAGGAAAGTACATTGGTTACGTTCGCTGTTCTGAGTTATTTTTAAAAAGAAAAAGTTGAGATATAAATAAATATCTCTGCATTTAAAATGGCAAGATGGGTGATGGACAGATATAAGCTTTAAGTAGGACTAGTCTCTTTGCTGCCATTTAGTGGCCATTCGGATTGTTCTAGCCGAGATACGGTAACCCTAGCTTAGGTCTGTTTCAAATTGGTCCATCCTTTTCCTCAAAATGATCCCTTTGTAGTTGTTATCTTATATTTGGTTTTTCTTCTAGAAGCACATAGGAGCCCTCTGGAAAATAAACAAGATTGGCTCTTGTTTTTCTTTTTTTAGTCAGCATTTTTGCCCAGGAGGACTGTTGGAGTGTAGAAACCAAACTATTTCTGGCAAAGAATATAAGAACTGAGTATTTTAGTAAAGAGGAAAAAAAATAGATTGCTACAGTAAACCTATTATCCAGAAATTATCATAAAACAGTAGAACAACAAATCTAAATCAAAGTTTTGTGTAGTGGTATGGCTCAATAAGAGGATTTAGTAACCTGGAATGTAAATGAAGAGTTGACATTCCTTTAAAAATGAACATAACATTTTTATGCTTGACCCTCAAATATGAAAATAATTAGAGAAGCAAAGTATATCTTGGGATATCACGTAAGACGTATGTAAGAAGAGAATTTGGCAGGAACATCTGCCTCCCTAGAGCCACAAGTGCAATAGAGCAGAAGGAAGAACATTAACACAGGCTGTAGAAAAGGCCCTTCTATGTTTTTTTTTTTTGTGGTTTGATTGTGTAAATAACCTAAAATAGAGAGTTTATACCAACTTAACATTTGGTGATAAAATTCTGATGATCATTGTCCCTAATTCATTGATTTGGCCTCCATAAGGTTTAATTGGTCTATATATTCAGGAGAAAGGCTGAGATTAGGTAATTCCTCCATACAAGTCTGATACCAACAAAATTGGCAGCTGTCTATCAGTACAACCTTGCAGAATCAAACAGGTTTCTGAAGGGTGAAGTTAATCTTGCTCCAAGCTGTCCTTAATGGTTGGTACACTAGCTTCAAGCCTCAAAACTGCATTAGGAACACATTTTGGAGACTTGAACAGAGTCCAAAGAAAGTTTGATTGAATGGTTTACAATGCCTGTAGGTTTATAAATAGGCCAGGTTGAATGCCATACAATAGTCGAGGAGCTATTTTAGCGGTAAACAATTTAATTGCTGCTGGAATGTAATTTGCCTCGGGGTGTATATAAAACTGGGTTATAGCTAATGTAGTCCTTTGGGCAGTAGAAGTGACAGAACTACCCAAACTGCTGATCTTCTAGAAACCTGAAAGTCTATACTGAATTACTTGAAACATTTAACTTATTCTAATGGATAAGCAAGCCAGGTTCTAACCAGGATGATCTAAGATATACTACTGCTTAGTGCTATAATATATGGCCAATAAATATGTAAATCATTCTGATCTGACTTTATACACAGGCTTCATTGATTTTAAAGCAATGTTCAGTTAGTACTCTGGGACATATTGAGTAATTACAAAAAATCAATATGTTTAGCTTTCCCTGATAGAAAACGCACAAGTGATAATTGATTCTCATGCACTAGAAACGATTGCTCAGGTCTGCCAAATGGTTGCAAAAGTTTCCTTATTTAAAGCAGGCCTCGGTCAAATTAGCAATAGGATTTAGACTTATACACCGCCTCACAGTTCTTTACATCATCTGCGCGCGATGGGGCGTGAGGGCGGAGTCTTGTCCCTGCTACCCGGCTGCCATGTCCTTGGCTGTGCTGCCCCACTCAGGCTACATCCAGGGGCAACTCTCCTCGGGGGGGGGGGCTGCTGGTGAGGAAGGGACCATCGGGGGAGGTGGGGCTGGGGCGATGGCACGTGTGCCACAGAGAAGGCTCTGAGTGCCACTCACGCGTGCCATAGGTTCGCCACCACTGGACTATAGAAATACTCTATAGCAGGGTGGGCAATTAATTTTCCCAAAGGACCACATGAGCAACCGGGACTGTTGTGGAGGACCAAACCAACAGCTCCTGGTTGTGCTCTGCCCACTCATTTGCATGGCCATGCTTCGACCAAGGCAGTGGTGGGTGGCCAAGCCCACGTCTCCTCACATGACTGTTACCACCGCCGTGTTAGGCTGCTTCAGGTGAGGGGTGAGTGCTGTGCAGTTGCAGAAAAGCGCTTTCTCTCCTTGCTCTCCTGCATCCGCCAGCCAACTGAAGGAGCGCATGGTGACTGCACAGTTTCTCCTCCCGCCCCCGTAGCACATTTATTTGCATGTGATTTCTAATTTCCAATTCACCTCTAGCAGGCTGGACAGGGACAGCCAATGGCCTGTGGACCATGAAAGGCCCAGGTCTGCCCTACAGCAAACGTTCTCTGGCATCAAATACAGCCCAAGTTAAATTGTGAATGGAAAAATCAAAGCCAGATACAAATAAGATTAAGCAGAATTAGATTTTACTTATACTTAGTTAGGCCTCTGTACAGAGAAAGAGGAGGTGGTAGAGATTGAGAGCATAGTTTGAGAAACTCTGTCCTTAAACGTTCTTGCTTTTCATTGTCTTACAGGTCCTTCACAGCTCTTGGCCGACTGTGAGCCTTATAACTGTTTATTGCCTGGTGAAGGCTCTCTGCTACACCGAAAAGAAAGTGCTGAACTATCTGAGGCATTACCTGGGGGAGACGTGCAGCCACGGCTTGTCTCCAATGGGCATTTAACAAGGTCACTCACCTCTCTCCCGGAGTCCAGCCACTGAAAGGCTGACAAGGGACCCGGGAAGCTTGTGAGCGTGCTCCCTCTATCTCTCCCACTTATTTGCACAGAATTATCTAGGCTACTTCTACCTCAAAGTCTGACTGGACAGCTTTGCAAATTAAAGGAAAAGTGACAACTCCGTGAGGTATAAGAAGCAAGCTTGAGTAAGGGAACAGAGCACTGTTTCTGCGTTGCCCGCTTGTAAATAGTTGTTAAAACTTCCCTGAGAAGGATCAGTGGCTCCATGTTGGCTTGCAGATAAAGCACAGAAATGCAAAATGTTACGATGTAAAGTGAAAGAAGTATTTGATAACAAATGTGTACATAAGAGTTTTCATATATATATATATCTATATATATCTATGAATATATATAAATATATATAAATATATATATATCTTTTAACAGAGACTGTTTTATCCCTTGGTGTATGTGTGACTGAGTGAAATTATATAATGCTGACAATGTGCATTGTTTTTTCATTGTTAAGAGTTTTTTCTATTTTTAAATCCTTCCCACCCATCTCCAAGATAAATAGTTCTGGTGTCGTAGTTAAAACTTTTTTGAGGTTGGGACCACAAACTTTACATAGGGAAGATCACACTGATAAAAATGCCCTTTCTATGGTACCCCACTGTAAAGGTGTGCTATTTGAGAGAAGTGCTCTACCATCAAGAGCTGAACAGTTAACCTTCAAAATGTGTGCATGCACAAGTGACATTTCTATTGAGACTACAAGCTGAAGAACTGTGTGTAGGCTCAGACATGGAGCTGAGGAGAGCGTTCAAGCAGATTAGGTGGAATGTGTCATTTGCCCCAGTGTTCTTTGCCAATCACCTCTCTCAAACAGGTAGCATTGAACTGGTTCATTAGTTTAATTATCTTCTCAGAGATATTGATAGCACAATGGTGTACAACACGTTTCTTCTGTAGACTTGCTCCCAAGTGAATCCATAGGATTGTAATGCTCTGAGCTTAAAGAGCAAACTGAAGTCTGCTCTTGTAACATTGCTGTGCAGGGGTGAGCCAAATGCTCCAAGGATCTCTTCAATACCTACTTTTTGAAACATGACTGAATCAGTGGCAGAGTTTCTAGTTGGTGTAAATTGGGCTTGCGCCAGAGAAGGGAGTGGCAGTAAACAGGAATTTTTTAGGACAGCACATTGCAACATTCTAGCACTATGGTGACTTCTGGAATATATGCCTATCTATACAATTTCAACCTTAAAGTAGATGCAAGCAATCTTGTGTAAAATCCTGACTTCTGTTTAAATATTAAATGTTCATTGCACTAGCAATGATCCTTGTGGAACAACATTAAACTGCCAAGCTCCCCTCAAAAAGCAGAAGGAGTAAGAAGATTATAGAGACGTCCTCATGCTGTTTTATTTCTCATAGGAACTTATTAATGTTTTCTCTTGGCACCTTGGCACCATTTTTAGAGATTTCAAAATATATTGCTAATATTGCTTATGCAGTAACCTGACACACTGAACAATCCTTTTTGCACACGCACACCTAATTTCCTTTTCTTTTCAAGTCAGACTTAGAATTCAGGTTCATAGATAGTTGCTCAAATTCTGAAAGTCTTCTCTGTATTGAGAAAGACTTTTGACAAGATCTATCAAGGAGAATTATTCAAAAAGCGTGGATCCCCTTAGGCCAGGGGTAGGCAACCTTGGCTCTTTTATGACTCGTGGACGTCAACTCCCAGAATTCCTGAGCCAGCATTGCTGGCTCAGGAATTCTGGGAGTTGACGTCCACGAGTCATAAAAGAGCCAAGGTTGCCTACCCCTGCCTTAGGCTACTCTGCTTTAATTTTTACACAGTTTTAAATTCAGTTAAGTGTCCAACACAAATGTGAACACATACATGAAAACTGTTTTTATAACCTAAGAGTGGATTTTAAAAATAAAATTGCTATCTTTTTTTTTTTTATATTGGTACTATGTAGTTCCCAAAAGTCATTCTCCACCCCACTTGACCAATTGTAGCTCTGACCCAAAGTTGGTAAACATAGATTAGGACATTGTCTGTAGGGCAACATCAAGTTATGTGTGTTCTCCTCATTTTCTTTACCTTGACTTAAAGGCCAGTTTCAGAGAAATAAAGATAGGAAACATGATTTAGTTTAGGATATTAGGAGTTCATATTAGGGGCATAATATAACAAATGCTTTATTTGTGGGAAGGGCAGAATGGACTTGATCTACTTTGAAACACCAAGGAAAGCTTTTTGGTATGTTCTTCTATTAACCAGATTGACTGTAAAGGAAACTTCGACACCAGATTTTTCTCCTGGAACTCTATTAAATAGGCATTAGAAGGCCATCTGGCACAGGTTATTTCTCTGTTGTGAGGTTTAGTATCTTGCTACAGCAACTGGATAGGAAACCACCAGAGGCTTTGGTGTGCCATGTGCAAGCCTTTTTCTACATAATTTTGTGAGCAGAGGGCTTTCTCTAATAAGAAAGCTGTGGTAAAACATACTATCTCCCTTTAAGTAAGGGAGAGCTTTTAAATATCTGATTACTATGGCATCAAATTACTCTTCCTTCTCCTTCAGTTGGCGGAAGATGTATAGCTTTGTAAGACAAGTTTTGTATCTGCTTTTTAGCTGAAGCTGAACTTTCTGAAGTAATGCATCATTTCACCATCTCCCTATCTCCAGACAATAAACATACTCGGACTTTGGAATAGGAGTCCAATGATATAAGGTGCCAACTTGTAGCTTATTTGGTGATTTTAAAGAAAACGGATCAGCTAATAGGGAAACATATTCAGGGTGCATTTTTCGCCTCGTTCATAGAGAGAGTAAGTGACATGCTTTTTAAAGAAAAGTGAACTTGTAAAGGTTTGGTTACTAGATGAAGAAGGTAAAGGTGAAGAGAAATGGGGAAAGGCATAGGAAAAAGGTATCACCATTGGAATTGCTAAGCACACTTGCCATATTAACATTTTGGAAAATTTAGTTTTGGATGTTTAAATGTTACTTCCACTAAATATGTGAATCTGCTGCTTCTGAGAGGCAATGTGAAAGAGGAAGTATTAATTTTTGTGTAAAAAGTTATTTATTTATTAGACTAATGTGGTACAATGTTGTACATTGAGAATACATTGTAAAGATATTGGAAGTGTTTAACAAATGGCATTGAAGTGTCTTTAATAAAGGTTCATTTATAATACCAATTATTCTGCCTTGATTAATTAATCTGTTTTTTTTATAATTTGGTTTTGAGAGAAGTAAAATGAAATTCTGCATTGCTACGCTTCCTGGATTTTGAAGACTTTTTAAAAGGCTATGACTGTTTCATAATCCACTAATAATGGGTTAGGATGACCAAATGGAACTCGTGTTTGAATATCAATAGAGTATTTATAGCTCAGAGTTGAACAATGAGATTCTTAGTGCTTTCTTGAGTTTGGTCCAAGTAGTGGTAGAAGGGAGTGGGATGTGAACATCAAGGACCTCACAGTTGTATTTAAATAATTAGGATCATGGACATGGTCCATTTCTGAGTCATTCACTCCACTAGTTCAATGAAATACCTGTTATCTTTAATGAGTTTGGGGTGATTTAATTGCCAATTTTAGCCAATGTCCTACTATCTTGTCTCTAATGCTGTTGTCACCCAGAATCATCCAGTTCCTATTGGAAGAGTCGGATCTGGTTAGTCCATGGATACAGGACTATTTGGAAAATTTAGGACTGTAGGATAAACTGGTGGTGGTGTTTTTTTTAAGTGTTAACTTTGGAGAATTGCAATAGCTACCCATTAACAGAAAACTGCTTAGAAGTGTCTGTGTTATGTCACCCGGAATTGAACTCAGCTTGAAGGAGATGTCTTCTGAATGACAAGAAACTTATACCTCAACCACCAATTAGGTGGTTCCCTTGAGCAAAAGACAGTCTCACTTATATTTATTATTATAATAATAATAATAATAATAATAATAATAATAGTAAAGTTGGAAGGGACCTTGAAGGTCATCTAGTCCAACCCCCTGCTCAGGCAGGAAACCCTATACCATTTCGGACAAATGGCTGTCCAGTCTCTTCTTAAAAACTTCCAGTGTTGGAGCATTCACCGCTTCTGGAGGCAGGTTTCTACCTCCTTATGTCCAATTCTGCAACGTCTGGGTTTGAAAGAAGCTTGGTGTGAGTTCAACAGTGCCTACTTTTGAGTAAAAAGTATAGGATTGTGTTTTCACTGAGTTAAACTTTACAACAGATTAACCAGCAACTCTGAAGGGAAGACATTCAAATTCTGCAGGAGATAGTATGAGGTCAGCAGAGGACTTTTGAAATGGCTGGATTTCAAGAAGCCGACACAAAAATTAACTCACTAATGAAAGAAAGCAAGAAAATGTCAATAGGCATTTTTCTTAGTTTATGTCAGGCTCCCTTCCCTGCCAGGGTTATTTTTTTAGATTCTTTTAATTAAAGTAGCTAAGTGGAGCTAGCCTGCTGCACAATGAAATGCAAACAACATTTTTGTTTTCAGTGCCTACATAGGCCCTATAGGTATTCTTCGAAAATGCAAATAGTGAACGGCAACAACCCAATGCTTGGTCTGGAAGTATACCAACAGGCAAAACCCAGGTAGACAAAAGTAATCTGGGGTGAATAGCTCTTTGGGGTGAGCCATCATTATGGCAGTCAAGGTCATATATTGGAGTTGGGATGCAGCTCAAAATAGCCCAGATGGTGGCATGCAATCAAAACCTTACAACCCTATGACTTTGACCCTCCTTAAGGATTTGCAAGAGTGCCCTAAAAATTCCCAACGTGTTCTTCAGCCACCAAAGCCACCTTGCCCCTGTGCACTGTGCTCTCTTTGGACTCAGCATCTGTTGTGGTCCATCACTATCCCACTCTGCCTCTCAAACAAGGTCACTCATTTCTGTGACTGTCTCTGGAGAACAGGAATTGAGGTTCTTCCCCCTTCTGGGTATCTTCATTTTTTTCACCTCCTGAAAAACTGATTCTTTGGAAGCAAGGGATGGGAAAGAAAAGAAAAAAAAATGAGCTTGCTCTTTTTTTCATGGGCAACCTTGTTAGGCGGTAAAATAATACAACATTGTACTCAATCAGTACTAAAGAAATTCGAGTCTAATTAAAAAAGGCAGTCTTGCTTATCCAAGCAAGAATGCTGGCTATGCACCTGTAGGTATGAACAGTGGCCTAGATTTTTTCAAATGGGTTTCAAACAAGAAACAAATGGCTTTTTCCCCTTCTATACATTTTAAAAGGAAAGAAAAATCTCATTGCTTCTTCGGTCTGTCCTCCAGAGCATGGCAAGTCTTCAGTCATGTTAATGATGCTGGTTGGGGTGACTCCGATGCCATTCTACGATGAATATGTGTGGCGGCTATGCCATGGAGACCAAGCTGTCATTTGCACATCACGCTCCCTAAAGTGACTGCTAATGATAAGGCTTTTCAGCTCCTTCCTTGGCTGGAGCCCCTAAATAAGTTCTTTGCCCCCCAAAGCTGAATTTTTTGGCAGACTCTTCTCCATGAGCTCACCACTATAGCAGGACTCTCCATACATGGCATTTTTGTTAAGGAAATGGAATTACGGGATTTCTTGTTCTTGTTTAAATAGGGAGCATGAAGTCTGGGCTGCTGAACAGCTGCTGAGCCACAGGAGGCAGGAATGGCAGGGAAAAGGGGAAGGGAGAAATGGGGGGGGGGAGAGGAGAGCAGAAATGTGTGGGAAGTAAAGGAATAACTTCCATGAATATGTGTTTTCTCTTAGAATTAAGGAGGGCTGGCTGGGTGGAATAATGGCTCCACAGCTGTTCCTCTTGACCAAAATCATAAAAGTAAGCTTCGGATCTTGTCATACATCCCAAGAAAGATAAAACCTCCAAGGCTGATCGAAGAGATTCGAGGGACGATGCCGGAAAACAAGCTGGAAGAAAAGGACAAAAGTCATTTGACATTTTAGAAGTTCTACCACTAGGATGTTCTCTCATTCCACTCCCACAAATACTGTAGAGAGGTTCCCCTCCATTTTAAAACTGCTTCCCTGAATGTCAACTTGAGCTCAATTTATTTGTAATTGAGGGCTGCATGAGAGCAGATTTGGGAGCAAGGCTTTCTGAAATGGGTCACTTTAGTGAGGAGAGAGTTGGGCCCCTTCCTTCCTCAAAAAGGGACCATCTAGTTGCAAGCTTCGTGTCAAAAAGCGGCGCACCAGGGGCCAGAAATGAGCTGAGGCCATCACTGTCCTCTCCAAAATAGGGCTCCCCTATACAGTCCCCAACAAGTCCAAATAATGTGACAGAAAAAAGAAAATAATCAAATATAAGAAAGTAAATCAATTTTTAATGTTGAACTCTGGTCCAAATCAAGTTCTTGTTCATGTGTCCAAAATAACATTTTCTTTCAAATTCTGAGAGATGAGTTTATATAAATTCTGCACACGGGTGTTTCCCGATATCTAAAATGTGTGGGTTTATCTCATAAAATATATCACTGAATTATTTTTCACAACAGGCTTCTGCATGTTTCCTGAAAGAGGCATGGATTTGAAAAACGTAGACAAGCATGGGCAACCCAGAAGATCACAAGGGGGTTCATGAGAACTCAAATACAAATTGAATACTGGGAAAATAATAAAAGAACAAATAAAAGGAAGAGGGTCATTCCAGTGAAATAGATACACGAACCCTTTACTCACAATCCATCCTTGCTCAAGGTCTGGGAAAAGAGCCACAACTTCAAGCCTTATTGAAGGGAGCATAGGATTGGGGTTGCTGCAGCACCATGCTTCCTGGTCCCATCAAATGACACTGCTTTAAAATGTGCGACCTGGAGCATGTGCCTTCTGTTGGAACTTAAAAGATGGGAGAATGGTGACAGCCACACCTTATGCCAGGGATTTGTAGATGATAACCAGTACCTTGAACTGTACCTGGAAACCTACCAGTAACTGCTGCAGTTCACAAACAAGGTGTTACATAGGCATACCATGGTATGCCCGTTGATCCCACATTCTGGATCAACTGAAACTGATGCATTTCCAAGACAGCTCAAAACACAGCATATTGTAGTTGTCCATATATGAAGTAAACAAGGCATGAGTAACCATGAAAAGGGCCTTCTGGTCCAAGAAGAGGAACAACTGACACACAAGACAAATCTGTTCAAAGGCCTTCTTGGCTACGGCTGCTACCTGCTTTTCAAGCAAGAGCAGAGAGCGCAGGAAGACACCCAAATTGTGTGCCAGTTTTGCCTGGAAGTAAACCTGGTTTACTTCCATTCAGAAGTAAACCAGGACATCAGAAGAATTATGAATCCACAGCCAGTCTTATCAGAGATCAGTTTAATCCTATTCTTTAGCATCAGGACCCTGATATACTGCAAGGACTGGGTCAAAACTTTCCAAAGTCTCCCCCCACCTGAGTCCAAACACCTCAGCATATTAAACCTCTGCAATTCAGCCTCTACTTTAGTCCTGCAATAACTCAGCACTCTTCATACTGCTCCTTCCAATGCCAACACCACAGCAGTCATTTCAACCCATTGGCTCCATCATCTTCAATAAATCTTGTTAAAGAAGACACTGTGTGCCTCATGCTTGTACTGCTACTTTCAATTTGAAACAACAGCCCAACAGCCTGTTCCATTTTGCTGCGACTACATTTTCTTTCTTTTTTTAAGTTTTATTATTTTTTAACAGAGTTCAATAATAATTATTGAACAAAAATGTGTTGTCTGAGTATCTTATTCACTAATACAAATTAAATTCCTAATCCCTAAATCTTTTCTCTAACCATTGATAAAATAGGTCCCAAGTTTGAAAATATTCTGTTTCTTCTTTTTCTTTCAACCTTAAAGTAAGTATGTCCATTTCCACACAGTCTAATATTTTTTGATTATTTTTGCTTCTGGTGGTATTTCTTTGTTCTTCCAATATTGTGCAAATACAATTCTTGCCGCTGTTATCACATGTAGAATCAAATATGTACTTTGCTTATCAAGTTTTTCTGGCATTACACCTAGTAAAAAAATTCAGGTTTATAGTCTATGTGTTTCTCTAACATTTTTTCTAACCAAGTGTGGATTATTGTCCAATATCTCCTTGCTTTAACACGTCTACACATATGATAATAAGTACCTGGTTTGTGTTTACATTTCCAACATTTCTCTGACGTTTTTAAACATTTTTGCTAATCTTGTTGGTGGCAAATGCCATCTATAAAACATTTTATATAAGTTTTCTTTGTATGAAGCTGACATTGTCAATTTATAGTTTCTTTCCCACAAACTTTGCCACTTTTCTAAGTCTATATTATATCCAAATTTTTTTGCCCATACTATCATTGTCTCTTTTACTTGTTCATCTTCCATTTTGAAATTTAATAAAAAAATGTACATTTTTAATTAACTTTTCATCAGAAGTTAATAATGTCTGATCAAACATACTCTGTTCTTTGTAAAATCCATACTGTTTGATATCTTTATCATATCTGACTTGCGTTTGTAAATGTGAACACCATGTTAAATCGATGTCCTGATTTTCCATCTCTTGCCAGGATTTTAAGTTCCCTTCAGAATTTAGAATATCTTTGTATGTCCATATTTTATCGAGACTGACTAGATTTGGATGTACAAATGCTTCCATTGTTGAAAGCCATCCTGGTATTTTCAAACAAATTTTACATTTTATTTTTTCCCAAGTTAATAATAATGCATTTCTAATGTAGTGGTTTTGGAAGTATTTATGTATTTCATTTTTCCCGTACCATAGAAAAGCATGCCAACCAAGTTGCAGGTCATGTCCCTCCAGATACAGCAATCTTTTATTTTTAAGAGTTAACCATTCTTTTATCCATGTTAACACTGATGCTTGATAATATAAAACCATTTTCTGCTTATAGAAGACACAGTTAGTTCTGAAAGTCACCTATGGATCATTCTGAGACTGTGTTCAATACTGCTAAAAGCAAATATAATTGCGAATGGTGACAGTTTTTAATTCCCAGGCCTGTTAAATGGCTATTTGGCAGTTTTAGAGCCTATAGTATTTAATGGTGATCTGCCATTTCCAATGTTTACCCATAACTTAATTACCACACTAAAACCAGTGGTGGGATTCAGCCAGTTCGCACCACTTCAGCAGAACCGGTAGCTACTTTTTGGTTGCCCAGGCCCAGAATGGACTTCCGGAAGCGGCATCCACACAGAGAACTGGTTGTTCAGATATTTGAATCCCACCACTGACTAAAACTTTGCCATCTCATTCAACAACCAATATAATCCTCTAAAATTCAGATCTGGATAGACTTACGACATATTTTGTGGATTCCTTCATTGTAAGAAACCAAGCTCATCAGAACCAACAAGCCTTTCTAAAAGGCTTGTTGTTGTTTTAACCAAACCAGCCATAATCAAAATCTCTGATTAATCTGTAGACTTTGGAAAACACGAGACAAATTCTACAACACCCTTTTGTGAAGTCCCCCCCCCATCCTTAGCCACTGCTAAGTCAGATTCTTTGTCTTCCTTCCTGCACTTGTCTGTGGTCTGCTTCAGGGCTGTGGCAGGCAGATGGAAATGTTTTATGGTTTCACTAGACAGCAAGCCACTGCATTACCATAATTACAGCTTTAAAGCTAAGTAATTTGTAGCAAGACAAGTCCTGACAGAAGATTCCCTCAGCAGACCAAGACGTATATCTGGAGATTAGAAGATTCCTACTGGAAAAAGGTTAAGCTGGCACCCAAGCACAGCCAAAGAAATTGCCTCTATTATTTTATCTATTCAATTTATCTTTCAAAGGCTAATTCCTCAATAGAGTTCTGGCTTACCTAGCTCTTCCTTGTTCTGACTGCAGTCCAGTCATTTAACTCCTTCCACAAAAGAAAATTTTAAGAATGACACACTTTAGTTTGGTTTTCTCATATAGCAAAAAAGGCAGGAAACAGATTTGCCTGGAGTATTTCATGTTCTTCCCAGCCGCATGTAACTGTGCTGTTTTCCATGGATGTAGCAAACTTCTATAAGTTGTAGGCCACTCTCAGGCCACTAAAAGAAATGAGGTGAAATATATGGAAATATGGAACTTATAAACCTCCCACCTCACTGCTTTAACACACTGTGAAATCTTATTAAAGGTGCAGTGATAAATAAGGCCTGCTTACAAGACAGGTGTCAAGTCAGGACCAATTATTTCTAAATAAAGCTATAAAGGGATATAATCCAAAATAATTCTTGATCAGTATTTTAATAAATGTATTCCACTGGGTGCTAACACACGTGTGCTAAGGCAGACGTGTCAAACACAAGGTCCGGGGGCCGGATGCGGCCCGAGAAGTGGTTTCATGTGACCCGCGAAGTCATCCTGGAAACAGTGAGGGAACGGCCCCCGCTGCCTTGGCCCTGGCCCAGGCCAGCCGGGAGCCAATATACAATTTTGTGTTGGCCATCTATGCTGAAACGCACTCAGTCTTAGCTCCACAAGGCCGTCTGGAAACAGCGAGGAACCAGCCCCTGCTGTGTCGCCCCGCCCCCTGGGTGCATGCTGGGGAGGTGTCACCCTTTGTGAGGAATGAAGAAATGGACCATGCCTTGGCGCTTGCTCCAGTCCCACCCCCTTCTGCCAGAGACTCTCAGATCTGTCCCACTCCTGCCCAGGCCCCCACAGGCATCCTTGGTGCGAATGATGTAGAGCTGACCATGCCCACCCAGTAGGCCACACCCACCCTGGCCGCACCCCTGAGGGGAACCGCAATGCTGATGCGGCCCTCAATGAAATTGAGTATGACACCCCTGTGCTGAGGGATCTCTTATCTATCTGCTGTGCTTTAGGTTTTAACTTCGCCTAATAATCCCTTCTAAAATTTTGGCTCTCTCTACAGAAGAGTTTGGTTACCCTTCTTCGCTTAAAGATGTTATAAAAAAATACCAAGACTGATACTGTGTACCAAGACCTGATTCCTGTCCATAGGTAGCTTTTCCTAACTCAACAGATGACTATCAATCAAATAATGTGAAATCAATGAGTCAAGGAAAGCCTCAGGTCCATCCATAGGGCAGAGCCCTATAGGTCATGTTGTGCCACTTAAATCTGGAATGGGAGCCCAGTTTTGCTGCCATTTCATCTGCTGATGAGGATATCCAGGAAGGGAAGTGTGCTGTTTTCTTTTTCCCTTGTGAATTTTATTCCTTTGGAAATGTTGATTGTTTCATGTGTTTTCTCTAGTTGCTCCTTTTTTTATTATGATAAAGATACTGTCTACAATTAGGTCCAGAGTGAGAGTTGGGTCCAGCCTAAATCCAGTCATATATAGTACCTAGTGGTGGGATTCAAATATGTGAACAACTGGTTCTCTATGTGGATGCCATTTCTGGAAGTCCATTCTGGGCCTGGGCAACAAAAAATTAGCTACCGATTCTGCCGAAGTGGTGCGAACTGGCTGAATCCCACCACTGATAGTACCTCCAGATAGGCAAGCTAAGGACTGCATCAAGACAGTCAAGTTTAATTCTCCCTCCTGCTTACAATGGTTGCCAACTCCAACAAGCATAAACTATGATGACTAACGCACATATAAGCTCAGAGAACTTGATAGTCCATCAGTTTGTTCCAAATGCCCAACAGACTAAAGTTTAGGATTGGAAAGGAATAGGAAAAGTATTCAACTGACAATCCTAACCACTGCCGGCCTGTCCTAGCTGCTGGTCAAAATATCTCAGCTAATAATTACTGCCTCGCACTTTGTAGGGCTGCACGTAATACTGCTATGAGGCATAGAGAAATGATTAAACTTGGAAGCTACTCATCCGGGCATGGATTCGAAAGAACAAAACTGGTACAAATCTATGTCTAGTTTATGGCCCTTTAGTCTCTTTTTATAATCCCCCATTACATCATAGTGACTGAAAAAGAATTAACATCAGCAAAGAGAAGATGGGATGTTAAACCACTGGCCTGCACTT